TTAGCAACAATGTTGCCTCTCGCCCCAAGCAGTGGTATCCCCGAGGATCTCCGAAGGGGCGGGCGGGGAGGGGGGGCGTTCTCATGTTTTGCATGCCTAGGCGCTTAGTCAAAGCATTGACCACACGAACCTCCGAAGCGAAGTGTTTTATCCCCCAAGTGATCGAGTACAGTGTTGGCGTGTTCCTCGCTCTTCTCGTCGACGAGTTTTCGGCAGGTTTGGCACTTGCATCAACACCTCGGTGTCTTTTGCCGTCTGTGCGGAATCGCGACTGGTGATCGTTCCACGATTCATTTCTGAAAAATTCATAACGATGTCGCATTTTCGAACATGCTTCTGCACCACCCTCCGCTTGACGTCTCTCTCTTCCGCCCCTCGCTGTTCCCAGGCAAGCGATACCAGATCCCTCCCCAGCCTGCCAAATGTTCGTGTGGTGGACACGTTCTGGCGGGTAGTTGTACGCTACGCCGCTTCTCCGGTATCCCTGGTCGCCGGAGAGGCGGCATCGAGGCTCCCGTCCCTTTTCCCTCACCAGAGATTCTGCGATAGGGCCGTACTTGGAGATTAGACGGACGGTACGGCCGTTGGCGGGTCAGGAGGTGGTGTACAGCCGACCAGGGATTCCGGGGGGGTGCTGTTCGTGCCAGGGCGCTGTGAGTTAGGTTGGGTTTAGTGCCGTTATACTTCTCTGAGTTCCTTGTGCTGTACTTGCGTTAGTTATTTTTCGCTGCGCATATTCGTTCAGTGCAGGTCCGGGGCTTACCCTACGTTGGGTTTAATGCCTTTATACAGCAGGTTATATTTTTGGTCAGCGCATGCATTATTATGTGCACGGCCTGGAGCTTATACTTTCGTACTCCGCCGGGGGAATCACGGACGGCAGCGTGTCGAGTGATTTGCCCACCGCCTCTCGTCGGTTTGCTGGACGAAGTGTCATTGCTTGTTTGTTTCTCATTTCTTCCGAACAAATGAAAACCTTGCAGCAGGCGTTTTCTTCGAAGCGACCTTGCTAGAGAACCGGCCTCTGCCCAGAGCAGAGATAGAGGCGACGTTCAAGGGCTTTTTTGCGGAGGATATGGTCCCAGATGTCCTACGGACATGGTAAAAATAAGTTTCGTGAGCGGAGGCCACACCCAAAGGGTGTCATCTCCAGTTGCTTGTCGCCTCGGAGTGGATCCGACTGTAATGATCTGGCCGCCCTAACTAAGCGGCGCCACCATGAAAGTAATTTGCTTCCAGCAAGGAGACGCTTGTTTTGCGAGCATTTATTAGGCCACGTGCGTGCGTCCCAAAAAGACTGTTGTTGTATTCCGTACCCTATGTGTTTCTGTGAATCATTGCTGTTTTGAAGGTTTTGCGCAGTCTGCCACACGGAGGCAGCGCCTGAAAGTGAAGTGAGCTTGCTACTCTCCTGCATTGTCTAGGTACCAGGTTCGGTGAACGCACCCTGGTTGGGACCCTGAGGGTTGCGTGAGCATGCGCGGCACAGCACACTGCACACTACAATAAAAGTAGCCGGGTTTTTTCCATTTTTATGTGGGCGGGTTCCGAGCTAAAGCCGGCACCCCCCTTCCCACCTTGGATAATAAACGAAAACAAACAAAACAATTTTGTAGATCGCTTTAGAATGCCGAAACAAGACGAGGACAAAAGAGTAAAAAAATATATATAATTATCCTTCGGATCGAACTCGGCCTGGACTTGTTTCTCGCCGCATTCCCGGATTTTTCGCTGTTGGAACACGTCGTCGATCGCTTCCCCTTGGGCGAATTAGGGGGGGCAGGGCCACTCAGAAAACTCTTCCGACAAAACTCGAGCCGGGGACCGAGAATCCAAAATCCCAGGAACTTTGAAATGCTCAGCCAAAGTCAGCTTTTGGGGAGCTGTAAGTCGATTGCAAGGCCAAACGCGGACATTCTGATGATGATACATTCATTCGTGTTCCCCACCCTGAAATTAGCCCAAATCAAAATCTCCAGAGCTCTGATCAACGTGAGGATCGTTTTCTGCGCGAGGGGATTTTTCAGTCTAATCCCTAGTAAATCCCAGGTTCTGCCCGCTTGTTGCATAGTCGATAAGTGCGCAGCTGCATCAACGTCACGTCGATTGATGATTCCGATCAAAATTCTGACGATGATGGATTCATTCGTGATCTGCACCCCAAAATTTCCTTGACCTTTTTATATNTTTGCGTAGTCGATAAGTGCGCAGCTGTATCAACGTCACGTCGATTGATGATTCCGATCAAAATTCTGACGATGATGGATTCATTCGTGATCTGCACCCCAAAATTTCCTTGACCTTTTTATATCGAATTTTTCATGAGATTCGGACGGGTTTGAATCTCCCTCGGGGGCCCCGCGGAGGCGATTTCCCCTCAATTTCCCCAATTTTCCCCACTTATCCGTGGGTAACTTCCCACCATGATGGCCAAATGAAAACAAAGGATATTTTCGTGATCCCCCCTGAAACGTGTGCAAAATTTCAAGCACACTTTCGAAACTCGTTCATTCCTGGGGCCGCGTTCTGAAACACTCGTGAAAAATAGCCGGCTCTAGCTCGGAACCCGCCTGTAGTAAACCGCACGCCCATCATGCCCAAAGAGCCCGTCATGCCCAAAGAGTGAGACCAACCCTTGCTAATCTGGTCTTTCAACAGTATCTGTACTGAAGCATGGCCTCCTGCCCCTGCCGCCTCTGCTGCCGGTGCTTCAGGGGCGAGGGTGAGAGAGCTGGAAACAAACACTTGTGTGTTCGTGGTGGTGTGTTTGAACACAAGCGGTCAAGTTTCACCCAAGCAATCGTCCGATCAACAGCGCAAAGCAAGGTGAAACCATGGGGATCCTGGCACGACATATCCTGGGGTCAATCAAGCCTTCTTAGCAGCAGCAACCCTCTCGCTACCCGTCAATCCCGAGCATCGTGGTGACCCAAACAATTATCTTCTTTCTTTCCGTCTCTGATGAAAGATCTTTAAAAAAGCGAACGCGCCCTTATATGTTGGCGCACGCCTGGCCGGGAGCCTTTCAGCATCAGCATGGCCGCACCTGCCCCTTATCGTCCACGACACCGAGCTATGTGTTGTAACGTAAGTTCTGGAGTAACAGGATGTACGGTCCGGACGTCGTACACATCTAACGTGCGGCGCAATCGTAGCCCAGCAGGGTCTGGTTGTGTCGTTTCGATCTGAAACGGCATGTTGTTTTCTTCCTTTTTCGACTTCCGTTGCAACGTTCCTACGTTCAACGGGCGTAGACTCCCCCCCTCCCGGCGTAGCTCGCCTCACGCACAACATAACATGATGCACCGCCACCTTGAGACTCATAACTGCGTGTGTAGGATGTGCCTGCGGGATAGAATCGACAGTCCAGAACCCCAAACCACCAGTCAGTGGCGACGAGAGGTGCTTTCGCTCCACCAAGAAGAGTACCTACTTTTTTTCTGTCGTCATTGGCCCAAAGCCCCGCAGCTACGGTGGTCGTATGGGTTTGCCTTGCCACATGGCAGGACACATTACGCTTGCCCAGCCTAACACGAGATCTTACTAGGGCGTACACCGCGTTCCTTGTTGCTCTCATCGTCACACTACGCGGCGTGCAAACTGGCCCTATACCTACTACAGTGCTCTCGCAACAACCGCGTGCTGTGTGCTGTGCGAAGTCGGCCCGACCAATGCTGCAGCAGTTGAACTAGACTTTGCGTGATATGGGAGAGATAGGCTGAAGGATGACAACTGGATATTACAAAACACAAAACAATCACAGAAAGAACATCCCTTCGAGAAAATAGCAATCGAAGGGTGCGTTGAAGTCTCTCCCAAGAGGGTGTGGAGAAATAAACTGTTGTTGCTGGACTAGTCTAGCTAATGTTTTCATCATGTCGTTCGTTCAGGCAATCAGGCACCAGCCCACAACGGTACCAGATTCGCCGCATGATCTCAACACGTGTTCCGAACAGGATCGTTGTAGGACACTCTTTGAACAGGATAATTGTAGACCAATCCAAGACGTCTGGAGCCTGACAGCCCTGTTACAGAATCAAACAACACGCCATGCTCGGCGCAACCACCTCTATTGTGCTCGCTGCAACCAACTCTATCTGCTCGGTGCAACCACTCTACGCATCAACTTCCAACTCTATTTGCTTGGTGCAACGCACTTTACCAGCTTACCACCAGCAGAAAGTCCAGCCAGCTCAAACCCTGCAGACAGAGCACACAGACGACACTTCACACTTCTCACACAGAGACTCCAAACCAGAAACAACGACCGGCGATTCGCTACTGCTGTACCACGGTGTACACGTTACTTCGAGAAGAACGGTAAGTACGTGAGGTAGGTTTGGGGTGTGCACGCACAGAAGCGCCCCTTCGAAGAACTCGATCGTACCACACGAACTTTTCCACAGCAGCGAGGTATCAGTCGTACAGCAGTACCAACTTCAGAAATCTCGAGTTTGCCAGAGAGTGTTTGAGAGCAGCCTTCCAGCGAGATTATGTTGTATGGTGTTCCAAAGCCATTGCTGCACCCTGTCCGCACTCACTCGGTCACCAAATGCCCCTAGACCTAAGAGCCGATAGGGACCCTTAGCATCTGTTGACATACACTACTTGCCAGACTGTTGAAGTCCTTTTCTTTGACTTGCTGCACCTACTTCCCGGCATGTCTCAACTGACTGGACGGTCGTTCGGTCGGGGCTCTCTTGTCTTTACCGTGCGTTCCCAATACCCTCGCTTTCGCTCAGGAAAATATATGGTATAAATTTATATTCAAAACGCAGGGCAATAATATGTCACGAGCGACCAGTGATACTGAGGCGAGGGAGCAGGGCGGCAACCCCAACAGGGTCGGCATCCTCGACCCTGCCGCCCACGGCCCATCTCCGAAGCAGCTCCACGAGCTGTTGCACATCCTAATGGGCACACCAGCCGGCACTGTGCAGCAGGTGGGCTATTTGTTGATGCTGTTTGTTGCTGTCGTCAAGGCCGGTGCGGCCGCCAACAACAACAGCGGCGCGGGAAGCGGCGGCAACTGTGGCGATTCAACAGTCTACTGCAGGACTCGAGACCAAGTTGCTCCAGGTGCTGCTGGTCGAACCCACGGTTCCACGACGGTCACGGCGGCAGAACGGAAGAGCGCCATCGATCTCCTGCAAGCTGCCACCAAAGAGGCAAAGAAGAAAAACAAGATGAGGGGTGCGGCGAAGGCCGGCATCAAGAGCGGGAGGTGTTTGGCGACGGCAACCGATGGGAGCGATGCAGTGAAGGCGAAAACCCTTCAGTGCTGGGCCGCCAAAGGCAAGCAGAACGTCCGACAGCTGCTGAAACTTCTGCTCGGGTCTGCTGGTGCGGTGGGAAAAGCTCGGCCGGATCACGCCCGTCTGCTCAAGTTCCACGCTCAGGGTATCTCTCGCGAGGAAGCCAGAAAGGTAGGGGCATCGGGATACGAGGGGTGCGAGCACAGCGATGATGGTGCACTTGTCTTGTTCTCGCTGTGCGTTCGGAAGCTTCGCGCTTTCGTTGTCTGTTCGCTCTCGTCTTGACATCGTCTCTAACGTTTCCCGCGCTCACCGACCTCTGGCCTGACCGCCAATCATGTGTGGTGGCAGGGATCATCTGCTGCGGGGGCTGCATTCGAATTGATGATAGGTATCATCGATGCAGCTCTGCACGACGACGGCAAGACTAGCAACGGGTCGGCTTCACCCAGCACCACCCTGTCTCCGTCGTCTTCCCAAGCCGACATCGCTGTCGGAGGGGAAGACATCCCGACGTCGGCCGTCGACCGAAGGTCCACGAGCAAGCAACAGCAACTGGAACATCTCTCGCACGATGAGCGATCCGACCTCCTCCCCGTCTCCTTGCCCAGGAGCCGCATCGTCGAGACGCCATCTCCGTCGTCATGCGGTCAAGAACAGCGTTCATCGAACGGGGCGCAACCAAGCAACGTCGCCGGCATTGGCATCGTCGGACACGTCTACAACACCACCCCGACCTTTGTGACGTCAACATCACCGCTATCCTCGTCACCCTTAGGGGAATCGATCCGGGGCACGACGGAGGCGGCGGCGGTGCTGTCGGAGGAGACACCGTCTTCATCGTCGAAGGAGGACATGTTCGTCATCGTCGAGGCCGCGGACGAGAGGTGGCCCAGCTCCGACGATGATGAAGAAGAGGCGCCCCCGACTAGGAAGCGGTGAGTAAACAGCTGTTCGCCAGACCGGCTATCACGCCTCGCCTCCCGATGTATGTTCTCGCTCTCTTTACGGCGGAACAATCCTCCTCACCCACGCTTGGGGTACAGCAAGCGACGACGAGTTCCGACCTCCCTCCGCCCGTTCCTCCACCAACGGTGTTTGTGTTGTCTTCAACCTTGCTGACTGCCACCTCGTGATAGGTCGGACTCGAGCACGGAACGAATCCAAGGAGACGGGGAGAACGGTATCTCCACACCAGCCCCGTCGGCGTGCACCGATGCCATGGACGGCCGAACGACAGCACAGCCAGCCCCTAGGCAGGCCAGCCTTGTGCTCAACGAGGTGACCAACACATCCGGACCCGCCGAGATGGCCGCAGAGGGGGGAGCATCGACGACGCACTCTCCTCCACCGGCAGGTGTCACGCCTGACCAGGAGGTGGTGATGCTGTCCAGCGTTGCGCTGATTCTCGATCCGGGGGCTTCAAGAAGCGAGCCGCCAAGTGGGGCCGGGGAATCCTACGGGGGCGGACAGATCGTGCCCTACGGGTACATGCCCACCGGTAAGATTTCCCTACAATTTGTTCTCGCCGCTTTCCTTTACCGCCGTTCGCAGTTTGGGTCACATGTATATCCCTTATACCCTTCGAACACACGAGAAGAAAGTTCGCCTGAATCAATCTACTCCCCACCCGATCGTACTGTTCTTCGTGTAGATGAAAAGTTGACGATATGCTTGTAATGTGTGTTCGTTGTCCAAGAATCGTGATGAAATAGGTTTCCACAACCGACATGGGACCATCGACTTGAAATTCTTACGGCGACCGATGCCTCTGTGACGAAACACTTTTGAATCAACAATGAGGTCAGCTCTCATGTCCACCATCCTCTCCCTCCCTCCACCCGCGTCCCTTCGCCCTATTTCAAGCAGTCGCCACCACCGCTAGCCCCGAACGCCGTGACGCACGTGCCCCCCTCTCACTCTCCGGCACGGTGGAAAACACCTTGAGCCAGCTGGTGTTGCTCAGGCAGTCATCGCCCATCCTTTACAGGACACTGGTGAGTCTCGATGTCACCGCTGCCAACATTAAACAAGCTGGCTTTGTTGTTTGGTACGCGGGGGGCGGTAGGAGAGAAGCAGTGTCGGACCTCTGCTCTATCACAAGCAGAGTGAGGCGGTTGTCAACAGCATCGCAGGTCGATCAGTCTATCCCTCTCTGCCAGTATGAGATAAAAGAAGGATAGGTTAGTTGGTGGAACATGATTGCCAATACCACAGTGTATATTGGTATTGCCGTTCGTTGACGATAGTATCTTCTGGACGGCAAGGGCTTGGAACCGTGAAATAGCGGCGTTCATACCGCTAGCTACGTCGAGACACCTCGTCAATAGCCGCAGACTACACAACAATGGAGTTCGACGAAACTGTACCGAAAATGCCCTCAAAACTCCGGCCCATTGATTCAAAGCTGCACCTACCTCCGCCAAACTTCTACGCAAGGAGTAGACGGATCATGAACACCTACGTACGTTTGAGTACATGCACGTGCATATTGAGCAAGCACAGTCGCAACTGTGCCGCCTTAACATGCGCACAACGGATTCGTTCTCTACTGGTTTTGCCCAAACAAAAATTGGTTGTTCCGTCTCGCAGCCCTACGGTCCTGACAACCCTACACCGCTTGTGGTTTGACCCTTGCCTCCTTGTCGACCGTTCATTCCAGGCGATGAACATTATCCCAAGCCAGATGGACGTCGACCCGTCCGTGCGTCTGAGCATCGGAGGGCCGCACGGGCTCGCCTCATTTGGCCCGCTGGAAGCGCGATCGTGCCAGCAGCAGCAGCAGCCACTCCAGGAGGCGATCTTGGTAGCACCGCAGGATGCGGGGGCCTCAGCAGTGAGAAGGGAGAGAATCGACCGCCCCTGGGTAACTCCTAGCCACCAAAAATTCCAGGACACAAATGACGCGGACGACAGCTCCGTCGCCGCCGACAGCGAGGGAGAGAACGAACACGATGGTCGCGGCGACAGCGACAGTGACGCGGGAAACGAGGGCGAAGACGACGAGCCTCCACCGCCGCCTTCGGCCCGCCACATCGATCGCGACCCCTTCAACGACCTGCTGCGCGCTTTCGCTGGCCTTGCTGCTCTCCGCGGCACCTCCGACGGCCTTGAGAGCGACGGCGACGAGCGCAGCAGGAGCGGTTCTTCCTCCGGTGACGCTGACGAGGACGACGCCTCGGCACGGGGACTCCACGACGAACCCAACAACATGGGCAGTGAGTCCAGCAGAGATGAGCTCGGCAGCACTCGCGACGACGACGACGGCAACGACGACCTGGACTGCGATGCGAGGATGGGCGCCTTCCTCTGCCTCGAAGAGAGGGAGTACCCCAGATGCAGGGTGGGTTACGAGAACGTTGAGGAAGGCCAGGCTACGTGGGCTCTGTCGGTCATCGGAAAGATCGCGGACGCGATCGACGCGCCGACGCACACCGTCACGCTTGCGGCCATGACCCTCGGAGTGGCCGGCGGCGTGCCGGGACTCATGGACGCGCTGACCAATGAACAGATCTGCCTCCTCCCCGCGGCGTGCGTGGGGGACTCCATCTGTCGACTGCAAGAATCTGGGACTGAGGAGAGCCCCGCCTATGACTTCAACACGGTGACAGACGCGATGCTGGCGATCACGAAGACCTCGTCGGAGGGCAGGGGTGACAACGGTAGCGACATATTTGGCGAGACAAGCGATGAAGACGCCAAGACTCAGTTGCTCGCTCTCGTCGTCCTTCTGAACGACGCCTTGCCAGAAGGCCTCTCCTGTCCGGGGTCCCTGCACTTCATACACATCCTCGCCGACCAGTCAGGCCTCTCGGACACCCGCAACGACGAAGAGCTTGAGGACGTTTTCGACCAGACCGACAAGCGCGTTCGTACCGCGGTCTTGAACGGTTTGCTCCGCACGCTTTCGCCGTCGGACATAGCGCGCGGCGCCTTCTTTGACGCAACCGGTGTGTCCGTCAACTTCGCCGTACAAAGCGCATAGGGGGCGAGACACCCGCCCGGTCGTCGATACCACGAGGTTTGCGGCCGGTCGACGGGGGCCGGTCGTGGCGAAGACGGCGACGACGTAGGCCACGATCGTGTCGATTGATGGGGCCGCGGCCGGGGACGGCGGCGGGGGGGGGGTGGCCTTGCTCAGTTGCGGGGACGAGGAGGCGGCCGGCTGGAGAGGCGGGGATAGCTCCCGGGCAGACCAGCCGAGGAGCTACCTCGCTCGTGACAAGACTTTTTCGTTGGGTGCAACTCCCACACTACCTGGGTCGGATCGGTGATGGGCCGATCGACTTCTGGTGCCTATCCCTAGTGGCGACGCTAGCCGGCATTGAAACGGTACACGAAAGCGGATAAAAGATCAAGATTCCGTTTGAGTGTGGGCAGGGGTCTCCTCCCTGCTAAGAATAAGAGCAAAAACAAAAGAAAAACAAGTGTAAGAAACATTCAATGGTAGGTTCTATGGTGGTATCTTTGAAAGTGAAAGAACACCATTTTTGTCGCAACATGACAAGATCCACCCAAGTCAGAGAGCGTAAGAAAGTGCGTGCGACTTATCGAATTAGGTGTAGGTGGTAGATTCAAATGTTTGTATACTGGATGTGTGCGTTCAAGTCGATTTGAACTACACTATATAGTCAGTCGCATACTCTTTTGTTGTTCTTGGTTGTTTCGGGCTCATACGCTTGGTTTCGTTGCCGCAGCCAGTCAGGTTTGATGGCGCGAGAACGTTAGACTAGTAGGTGGCGGCGGTACGCGCGCACCTGTTTGTTGTGCAGAAAAGCTTGTAGGGCGGAACGGTGGTAGACCACGATCGGTCGCCGGTTTTTTAGTTATGGAGCAATGTTGGCACACTATCATTTTGCTCATGAAGAAAAGCTTGTAGGGCGGAACGGTGGTAGACCA